CACACACACACACACACACACACACACACACACACACACCCTCCAGATCTTTGTTGTAATAACTGGAGAGAATAATCTCTCATATTGATAGGCACATGTAGCTGAGCGTGTGCCAGCTGACAGGTACTTATCTTTTCGCCGGTGTCCCGTGTTAAAGACAGATATAATTCTTTGTGACTATTCCTCGGGGCATCCGCTCTTCAACGTCATTATTTCTACTTAACCATAGATATATTTTCCCTTGAAAACCTGAAAATTAATATGAGAGCCAGCAATCTCAGCCAGCGGTCATTTGGAAATGGAACAAAAAATGTCATGTCAGTTTGGGGGAACGTTTATTAAGGCTGAAATTATTCACCATTTATTGATGGATGCACATAGAATAATCTCCTGTTTTGGGGGTTTTTTCACTCTGTGTTTCCAGGAACTAGTTGTAAAAGAATGTTTATAAACAAAAACAAAGTTCTTGTGTTTCTACTGAAATTGTTCAGTTTGAGCCCAAACCCCCTTTTTTCATTTTTAACGATTTTTAAAGCATGTTTTTATTCTTGTGACAACAGGAATGGAAATGAAGTCACTGGTGTAGTGAGATGCTTTGAACAGCAGTGGGCGCTCTAGAGTCAGAGGAAGTTCTTCTCACTTTTACAGTTTTACATCTGAAACTGATGCAACAGATATTTTCATGTTGGTCTTTTTACTGCCAGAAACTCAACGATAGTTTCCTTTTATTGGTCAAAAAATGCAACAGAAAAATGACGCATGACATTTAAAAGTATTACATCATAATAAACATTATGCGTCATAGTTTTGTCACATCTATTCCTCAATTTCAATTCAATGTATTTATTTATAAATACATTTATGTACTTATTAAGAACTTTCTATCATCTTCCTCAGATACAAATAAGTAAAACAGATCAACATTATATAAATGACAAAAAAACAGCAACATTTGTGATTTTTCTTTACAATGTTTGTCTTATTTTGCTTAAATAATCTAAATTGAATTAAGGAAGAGAGACTAATTGGTGAAATGCATCCTTTGTTGCCTCAACAGTGAAAAAGTTGTGACAATTTCACTGCAGATTTCATTCTTGTAAAACAATAAAACATCTGAGTTATTAAATATCACAAGAAAATAATTTCTTCAACTCAGACTATAGTGATCTATACGGTTTTGGAAAATTCTTATAAATGAGGTTTGAACTTTTGAACTTGTGTTGAACTAAGACACACGCACAAAAATTAGTCAATTAATGAGAAATTGTGCAAATATGGCAAAAATATGAAGAAATACGTCAAATTGATGTTATTTTATGTGTAACTGTTATTTAGGAGTTTTACTGAAACTCATCAAGACAAACAATAAAATCGAGTCTTTAGCTAATTGTAAAAAAAACATTTTTGGTAGGTTCGCGGCCGAATGTGAAGCGGCTGGGATGAGGATCAGCACCTCCAAATCTGAGACCATGGTTCTCGACCGGAAAAGGGTGGCTTGCCACCTCCGGGTCGGGGGAGAGGTCCTACCTCAAGTGGAGGAGTTTAAGTATCTCGGGGTCTTGTTCACGAGTGAGGGTAGGAGGGATCGGGAGATCGACAGGCGGATTGGTTCGGCGTCTGCAGTGATGCGGACGCTGAGCCGATCTGTCGTGGGGAAGAGGGAGCTGAGCCAGAAAGCCAGGCTCTCGATTTACCGGTCGATCTACGTCCCAATCCTCACCTATGGTCATGAGCTTTGGGTAATGACCGAAAGAACGAGATCGCGGATACAAGCGGCCGAAATGAGTTTCCTCCGTAGGGTGGCCGGGCTCAGCCTTAGAGATAGGGTGAGGAGCTCGGACATTCGGGAGGGACTCGGAGTAGAACCGCTGCTCCTCCGGATCGAAAGGAGCCAGTTGAGGTGGTTTGGGCATCTGGTCAGGATGCCTCCTGGACGCCTCCCTGGGGAGGTGTTTCGGGCATGTCCTGCCGGCAGAAGGCCCCCGGGTCGACCCAGGACACGTTGGAGAAGTTACATCTCCAATCTGGTCCGGGAACGCCTTGGGGTCCTGCCGGAGGAGCTGGTGGACAAGGCCGGGGAGAGGACGGCCTGGAGCTCCCTAGTTGGGATGCTGCCCCCGCGACCCGGACCCGGATAAGCGGAGGAAGACGAGACGAGACATTTTTGTTGTTGCAAAAACTCAAGAATCTCACATTTCGCAAATGGAAGGAGAGAAAATTCCCCCACTGATGTAAAAAAATTACATTTATGACAATAAGCAGTAATACATATTATTTTGTCTTGAAACTGGAGACAGAATTTGTGGTAGAAGCTCGTCTCACCTGCAGACCCCCCCCCCCCCCACCACCACAACCACCACCCCCATTTGCCGCCCCCAACCTAATTCAAGCGTTCCCCCTCTGAACTCCAGCGACTTATTTCTTGATTACTATTAAACAAACTTGGACTTCTTTAAAGCAGAGTCAGACTTCAGAGGCTGCGTGGCCTGTTTGTAGGGATGGACTGTACAGTACACACAGGTTTCTCATTTCTCCAGGTGACCTTGGGCACAGCGACACGTATGGGTTTTTCAGGCTTTGATTTGCCGTGTTGAGGTGTTGCAGAAAAAAGGTGCAATGCAAGATAATTTTGGCATCCCACCACCACCACCACTCTTCTTTCCTCCTGGGAGCATAGAGAAGTAAGAACTGCTCTGGAGATTACAGGTAATATGACACACAGCCTTCATAAACATTCTTGACCCAACCTGATGATGGAGATATTGCTGCAGGAGAGACTTTTCACACTTTGATTTGCCTAAAATGAGATGGAGAAGGGAGTGATCAGACTCTTTGAGGTTCCTTGCAGAGAGGCCTGCACTGGCTGTGTATATCTCTCTCCTACACACACACACACACACACACACACACACACACACACACACACACACACACACACACACACACACACACACACGTGAAATGACAGTCAGGTGAGCAGACTTCTGCAAACAAACTGAGAAAACATCCTCCAACAGATCATATTGATGTTTTATTCATGTCAGAGAAATACTAAAGCCAGCCATTGAAGCCAGGTGATAATCCAAGCGCTCCTGGGGTCGCCCTGGGCCAATCGGGGATGAGCAAACTATTGTGCATCCCTCTGAGGTCAACATGGTTGAAGCGGCGATACACATGTATGTTCATTTGCCTAATCTCACTTCTACAAATGTCTTACAGGCACATAAAGGGTTTAGCACTCACACATAATGATATCAGGGCATCAGGCGGGCGGCTTATGAAAACATGAGGCAGCCATGTCTCTGAATCAAACTTCCTGACAATGTAAGTTTTATTTCTCCTATAGGAACAATTTAATTCTAATAAAACTGATATTAATTCTAGAAAGCACCTTTTTAAAGGCCATATAATTTTTATTTCACTAAAACAACTTCTAGAATGTTACAGAAAAAGCTCATAAAACATAAACATTATGAGACTAGAGGACACGTTACCATGTGCACGTTCATAACAAAAAGTAGTTTTATTGTAGTTTTTCATGCAAGATTACAAACATTTGAGACTTTTTCTACTCAAAAAATATGCATCATATTGCTTAAAGAAGTCGTTTCTTGCAGAATTATTTTTTCTATTGCTCATTTTTTTTCATTTGAATCATTAAACAGATTGTTTCATTGTGTTCAAATTGCATTAGTTTTAAATTATTTTGCATGAATCAAGCTTTAAATCAGTTTGCTATGATTTATGGTTTATTTTAGATTTTGTTTAACTTACATAAAAAAGACTGAAATTAATCTGCTGTCGGGTTTCTTTAGAGCAGATTCTGTCTGTTATGGGCATTTATTTTTCTAAAATGTATTTATTTTTTGTCTAAAAAAAAGTTGGTGCAACTAATTTATGACGTCCACCTGAACCAGACAAAGTTTTTTCTTCAATCTGAACAACCACTGTAATTAGATATTAAGATTTAGATTAGGAGATACTGATTCCTGTTCATATTTATAATGAAACATCTCATAATGAAGGTGATACAGTTATAATGGCATCATTCTGAGCAACTTTTAAACGAACAAAAACGTTTCGAGTAAAATTTACATTTTTTCAACTTTTTTTTATTTATATTATTAGAATATTAGGACTCATTTCTACCAAATAAGTGACTTTAATTGCCTTATTTTTCTTCTTTTGGACAATAAAAAATTTTAAAATAAACAAAATTAAAGATTCTTGATAGAAATAAAAACTTTCATTATCACCAAACTTCTTTTAATGAGAGAATATTTTATAAGATCAAGTTTCCTCCAACTTTTTTTTTTGCACCTTTTCCTGTTCGGTTCCCATCTTAGACAAAAACAAAATCACACAGGCTATCCATTCAAAAGGCATTTAGTCCATTTCTTTCTTGGCCGGTAAACCCATTCATCAATTGTTCTGGCTTGTAGGTCACATTCTAATGCTAATCTGGCGTGTTAAATATCTTTTTGTTCCCCCCCCTTTCACCGTTTTGTCATTCACTTTATCCAGTTTTGGCCACCCATTTTATTTATTTATGCGCCTGCTCCCATTCATGCGCTCATGTATTTTTTATTATGTTGTTTCACTGTCATGCAGTGTCAACTCACTCCATTCAGTGTGGGCTACTTGAAGGGCTCGCAGGGACAAAGCGTGTACACATTGCACCGCTATTCACTCCGGCCAGCTGGAGCGACTGAAAAAAAAAAGCTCGTGAAAAGAAATCCTGCACAATGGCCACAGAAAGACGTGGACAATGCTAACAGTTTTCCAAATACCACTGATTGCTTTCATCACAATGAGGGAAAGCAGGCGCTTTTGCTGAGCTCCACTTCAACAAACAACACTCTCACAAAACCTCCCAACCCACGTTTTTGTTCCCACACAAAACCTCCTCGACCGCCTAAACGCTCCCAGAGCTGCAAAGTAATAATAATAAAGGTCTTTTAGCTTTTCTTTCCCCTCCTGTAATAAACGTTATGATAAAAGACAAGAAAGTGCGTTTTTTATTATGCAGCAAACAAAGTAAAACTCAAGTTCAAATATTATATTATTAAATTTCATTTTGTTGCTTTTTTTTATTCCAACAAGGAGGAAGTGGGGGGAATTGGAGGTGTACAATTCAGAGCACGGAGCTGAAAGGGGTTAATTAACCGTGACGGAGATAATTATCCCTGGACTGTCCAAATTAGTTTTGCATAATCGCTCTGATCCTATGAATTCATCTTAAGTGTAATCTAGAAGTGCATTTTTCCCGTAAACATGCCACAACACATTTGCATGTGCGCATTTTGTTTAAATAACTGAATTTTATTGTTTTTTCTCACATTTAAATAAAAAACGAGCTCATTCCTGCAGCCAAAATAATAAAAAAAACACGTTTTCTCCTTCCTTGGGAACAGAAAGCTTAGAGTTTTATCTTGCGTCCTATATCCACGATTAAAATTGTATAAATAAGGTTTTTGGCTCTTGGTAACAACGAGCTGATTTAGATCCCCCCCACCTCCCAGTAGAGCATTGAGAGCGCGGACAAAAGCGGCCTTTGGAGGATACCTTACACTTCACCTGCAGCAGCAGCAGCAGCAGGACAAGAAGATACCAATCTTTTTCATCTCATCAAGAACTGCAGCCGCGATTCCCTCCTGTTTTAATCCGAATAGGCTTTATTGTAAGTCTTTTTTTTTTTTTTGCTCAACAAGTGAACAGTTTATAAGGTACATAACGGAAAAGAAAACACAAAATATTACAAGTTTTTTCGTGAAGCACATAAGGAAGAAAAAAATGGGGTGAGGCATAAAAAAGTTATTCCATAGATTTAAAAAAATAAAATAAAAACCCGAATTGACCTTCGAAATAAATTACATCCTTATTGATTCCATGTGCAAATAGTTTGTCCTTTTTTCCTCCATTTTATTCGTCTGGGTCATCATATAATTCACTAAACAATAAATATTACAGACATCTATAAAACGGTTTAAAAACTTATAATATACACCGGTGTGTACGTGTGCGTGCGTGTGTGTGCGTGCGTGCGCGTGCGTGTGCGTGTGTGTGTGTGTGTGTCCCTTTCATCTCAAAACACTAGTCTACAAATAAACTAATTTATCTGTACACATTTACAGCGCTACAGTCCAGATCAGAAGATGATCCAAAAATGAGTTCGTGCTCCTGGAACCTTTGCGCATCTTGAGTCAGAGAGTTCTCTACCTGATAAAGGTCAGACAGCCTCGTGTGATATCTGAGGCTTCATCACACGTACACGTTTGTTTTACTCTCTTTTGCATGCATAATAAAACTCTTGCATGAATAACTGCGGTCTTTTTTCACATTGCGCCAGAAGTCCAGAGCGGGCCTATCATAACGCCGCTGCGTAAGCTGGGTACGGTTCAAGTTGAGGTTTCCCCATCCCGGGGAGCAGGATGTACGCCAAGGGCGGCTGGAGCCCCGCTGAGGGCCAGGCCGAACAGTTACATGGGATCATGTAGCCGGGGTTTCCGGGGGACGGGTGGGAGTGAGTGTGCGTCCCGCCACCCACGCCGCCAGTCCCGGTGAACGCCGTGGCGCCTCCCGGCGGGTAACCCAAGGGAGACGCGTAGGGAAATGAAGGAGGGGAAAGTTCGGTCATCTTGGATCCTAGGTCAAAAAAAGAGTAGGGGTTCGTGGTCATGGACGGGTTGAAGAAGACTCTGGCAGCCGCGGCTGCAGCCGCTGCCGCCGCCTTGTCCGGGTTCCCAATAACGGAGTCGGAAAGCGCTCCAGCAGAGAGTCCGCTCACTTTGAGTGCATCGTGCTCGCCGAGGTTATAGGGCACCGGGAAGGAAAACTTATCTTTCTTCATGAGAGTCTTGGGCTTCCGCCTCGGTCTGTATTTGTAGTCTGGGTGCTCCTTCATGTGCATCGCCCTCAGCCGCTTGGCTTCGTCTATGAACGGTCTTTTCTCCGACTCGGTGAGAAGTTTCCACTCCGCTCCAAGCCTCTTGCTGATCTCAGAGTTGTGCATCTTAGGGTTCTCCTGAGCCATCTTCCTGCGCTGGGCTCTGGACCAAACCATGAACGCATTCATTGGACGTTTGACGTGATCCATTGGTTTAGACATGCTGGGACCAACTCTCTGAAATGAATTACATAAAAACATCTATTAAACTACTAACGTATCCCCCAAACGATGCTAAATCACCACTCATAACATTTAAACATTACAGCATGAACTAAGGGTTCACTTCCAGCGCAGGTGGTGTTTACTTACTTAAGTCTTTAATTCTGCATCCCACCTTCGGGTTTCCTCTAAAATGTTCAAGCAGCAGCGTCCTTAAGAGCGCTCAAGTCCTTTCTGCGTCATTATGGCATCCAGGAGCGAAACGCCTGGAGTAAAAGAAAACGGAAGTAGAAGAATAAAGAAAGAAAAAAGTCTGTCTTGTTCTCCTCTTATCGCCTGAGACCGTCAACCTCCTCCGAGCAGCAGCTCACACAAGTGGATGACAACTCCCGTTTGCTCCATGTGAAATACCGGATTGTGTGGCAGGTAGTGAAAGTGTCACCGGCGCATGCGCACTAAGAACTACCAGCGCAGACGTCTAGATTTTTTTCTCATCCACTTTATTTTCCACCAAGAGATTTTAAGGGTATCAATAACGTGTTTATATGCAACTTTTATTATTTAGAGCGTATATGATCAGGATGAACGCATGACGTCATTTAGCCAGTAACATATGTTAGCTCGTTAAAGTCAATTAGACACCTGCTGAGGATGGACGCATGTGTGGGAATCTTGTATTTCATATTTGATGTGATTGTGGAGGTTTGTGACGACTTTCATAAAAAAAGTGAATTTCGCACTTTGTCTTGTAATAATAATAATAATAATAATAATTTCCCTCTTAAGTCAGTCTGTTCATAGAATTAATGACTCCTTTGCACCTCCCCTGCCCCCACTCCCCCTCCCTCCTATGGCACAAATCTTTTAAAAAGTGCGCACCAGCCGACAAGAAAAGGTAAAGAATGCGCTCTTTCATTTTCTGATATTGTCCCATTTTTCTTGGTAAATAAGCAAAATGTTGAGGAGGTCTCAAGTGTTTCTAATCGGCCTGGGAGAAATTAATTACTTTCTTGAAATCCCCTCCTTTCACGTTCACTTCAAAGAACCTTCCCAAGGGCAGCGAATCGACAACCGAAATGAGGTTGTCCAATATTCAACTAAGCAATTACAGTTATCTGCAGGACCTGTTGAATAAATTGTAGGTTTAAGTGGCTTGTTCTGGCACTTTTTCCTCCTCCCCGTTGTGTATAATTTTATGTGCGCAAAAAATAAAGAGGAACGGGAGAAAAGAGGGAAAAGGAAAAATGGAGAGGCGGCGTTGAGCAATAATATAAATGATGAATTAGGCTGAAGGTCTTGCGTTTAATTTAGGAAAGTCAAATGCAATTCGCTATTATTATTATTATTATTATTATTATTATTATTATTATTATTATTATTATTATTATTGGTTTCTGAGGCGTAGGAAGTTGAGATGTGACTCCAAATTCCACAAAGTGCGCATTTTCGTCTGCCTGATTTCAAGAGGCGCTCTGGATAGTTTTAAATATTTCTGTTAACAAGGATTAGAGGATTTATCGGAGCGTAGAAAAGGCTCTCAGAGGAATCACTCCTTTGTCTCAAGAAGACGAAAACTGACAAGATGATCCCAGAGGGAAAATGACCAGATGAAGGACAAAACCTGCTGTCCAAACCGAGTGGAGCGTCTCTCAGCAGCAGCGAGCGCAGCTTGACATCTGGTGCGGTGGAGCGCTGCGTTCCCTCTGCAGGAGCGCAGACAAAAAGTGCGAAAAGAATGACGTTTATTGAGGGGTGTTTAGGTGAAAGTTGTTATTAGACATGCTGGGTTAACCCTTGCACGTGCATCCCTCCAGTAAAGGCCTCATTCTTCTCCTATTTGTTTCTCTTTACTTGTTTTATTTAATTTAACATCATTTTCATATTTTTATGCTTTTGTTTTAATTGTTCAGGCCCAACTCGGCATGGTTTTAAATAAAATGCAGCCATCCAACACATTTTTTTTATCAATCCTAATATTTGCATCTGTTCTGCAAAAACACCTGACTCAGAAAACATTCATTCACCCTTAAAAAAAGTTAATTGAAATCTGATTTCTTAAAATATATCAAACAAGCACTCCAGTCTGTGTTTCCCTCCTTCTTCTTACACATGCCCGAGTCCTGGAAATAACACTTAAATAATTCAACATGAGTTAGTGAGAGTGGGAGAATTACCTGCTGATAAAGCTTGAGTCCAACCTCTGAGATGCAGCCAGCGCTCCACTCCCTCCTCCTCACAGCAGACCACTGATGATAAGGCTGAAAAGAAAAATATCATGCAAATAGAAGGCAGGCAGCAGCAACAACAAGCCCATGGGGACATTCTCCATCCCGGGGAGAACGCACACAGTTCACACTAAAGTGCTAAAGCCATCACTCTGAAGAAGAAAAAAAGAGACCCCAGAGGTGCAAGAATCTCCATGATAGCACAGAACACTTTATTCAGCTCAAGTCTGGGAGAAAGCATGCTAAATAGGAAAGGTTGATGAAGATCCAAGGATGATCCCAGTTTGCATAAACTATCTCATCAATACAGAATAATGCATCTTTGCTTACCTCCTCATCCTCCTCAAGCTGTTCTTCTACTCTGGGAGGAGGAGGAGGAGGAGGAGGAGGAGGGAGGGGAATCAAGATTTGAAATGAATTGATTTCAAGGGAACAAGAGTTGACCTCCTGCTATCAGATGGCTTTTCTTTGACTTGGAAGAAAAAGAGAACGGGTAAACAACAATATCTTGTGTTTGCCACTTCAAAACCTCACAAAGTATTTACTGCCACATGAAAGTTAGCTCATTATCAGGGAGGGGAGGAATAGGGAGGGGTTCTGATGGTGTACCTGATGGGGTTTGTCTCTCTGCATGTCTGATCACAGCTCTTCTCTTCGGAGCTGTGTGTGTGTGTGTGTGTGTGTGTGTGTGTGTGTGTGTGTGTGTGTGTCTCAAGTCCACCAAAGTAAAACTGACAGCAGTGGTTTTTAGCTGCTACACTCAAAAACTGATTCTTGGCCCACGTAAACACCAGTTAATCATTTTATGGAAGATTTAACTAAAATGTATAAAATCATAATTGTTAATCATTAAAACAATTGAACAAAAATCAATATAGGTGCTAACCTAGACTAAGCATGTATAGTAAACTCTACCTGAATATCATTTTAGGACTTTTAAATAATTTGCCAGGGGGCAGCAAATCCCCAGTGTGTCATTTGCACTTAAAGGAAAAAGAAGAAACAGTGCAAGCACCCCAAAAAATGTATAATCTTGACCCTAGTAATCACAAATTAATATTTTTATGCAGTCATCATTAATATATTAGAAAAATCACAACTGTTATTTATTAGACTCGTGACTATAAACTTGTGTCAGGAACATAAAATTAAGAACCGGTTATCTTAAAAGTGGAAATTTCATTGACTTTATGTAATAAAATTACATGTAAAATTTACATGTCAATATTTACTGAAGTCTACTGTTTGGCTGACTGTTTTTTTTTTTTTTTTTTTTTTTGCAGTAAAGAGGACCATTCCTTCCACCACTGCTGATTTTTCCAGATTAAAGATTTTGTCAGATTAGGGAGTTGAACAATCTAGACTTCAATATGCCAAGAAGTTAGAGAAAATCTATGTCCAAAAATAAATCTGATCATTTTATTATTTATTAGCTGTAAATTCTAGCAAAATATTTCGATAAACAAACACCAACTTGCAGCAAATTGAAACCTAATTTGTCGCCAACACGGATCATTAGCTGCAGAATCTTATCTCCAGCCAGCCCTTGATAAAGTGCTAATGACAAACAGTTTAGGCCTGTAAGTGATCCAATTGATTACTATTTAAAGATGAATGCATTCAAATTAGAAGCCATTGCGTCTAATGGGATGTCTTCACCAGAGCTACAATACACAGAAAATATGCTTAAGCACAAATAATGACAGGATTGAGACAATAGTGACTTCAGCTTCACTTCAAACGAGTCACACTGAACATACAAATACATAAATGCATAATTAACGAGAATAAAGTTAAAGGTTTTTTTTGTGGGCTTTAATATGTGACCTATTTTGAAGGTTGTGTTCTGAAAATACATTCAATAAGTGCCAAATTAGTTGTGCAGTTCTTTAATCATTCTAATTATACAGTCTTTATTGCTCCTCGGGGCAGAATTTTGTGCCTTTGTCTCAGTGGGAATTATTTTGGTGAAGAACCAAAATATTTACTCATCCACAACCTAAATATTACGCATATCAAGAGGAATTGAGATATAATCCTTTCATAGAGCGCAGCATTAGCTTAATCACATTAGTGAAAATACTATTGATGGTGGTCATGATCCCTGGTGAGGGGATTCATAATGATAACAATAATAAAAAAGCAGCCATACGCGATGGAAAACAGTGTGTTGTGAGTTAAAGAACAGGCAAATGGCCTTAAGGACTGTGTAGGTGTGTGTAAGCGAGCTATAATGATGGGAAAGAAAAAAAAACGAGGAGCGATTGTCAGCCGGATCTTCGAGGACCTGAACTGACAGATACAACAAACTTTTAAAAGGACATCATGGAAGGAGAATGGCGATGCAGAAGCATGTGGAGTCCACCGGGCTGATAAGACCTTCATCTTTAAATCGCCGCTTGTCAAAGTATTACACGTAATCTCCCACTGCAGAATACCTCCACACCCCGAGGGGAAAACAAAATAGCAGCGGGCTTCCTGGATCATTAAGAAAAAAAAAAAAAACATCGACCTATCCTAGCTTTTGTAAAAAGTCAGATATTTGAACTGCGATTGCCGCCAGCCCCCTGCAGGGCATGTGTTTAGCTGCCACGCTGCTTCTGTGGCCTGTGGTTCACATCCACACATGCTTGTTTACCTCCAGGCTGTGAGATGACTTTTCCCAAGATGGACTATTTTGAACAATTTAACAGATACATTATCGCCAGCTTTTCTTCTTCATTATTCCCCCCTTCTTTATCGCCGTAGCATCACTGCAAAGCCTCCAAATGGAGAGTTGTAATTACCCAGACTGCCACCTGATAGCAGCCCTTCTATCAGCTTTATCACTGCAGGTCCTGCTAACTCATCATAGAGACAGAAGGAAGAAAAGGTCTGCTTGTGGCACAGCCCAACACAGATAGCTCATCTCTCAGATACATTTATAGTTCCTGTTGGGGATCAGAGAAAACTGATGCACCAAGGCAATTTTTTTTAATTCACCCTTTTCCTTCAACCCTACAAAGACTGCTCTCTCTCAGTCCTCTGCTAGTCTCTCGCTCTTTATGTTGGAGCTGAATTGAGGCTGCTCCGCAAACAAAAAGTGATCCAATCTCCTTGAACCCGCGCAGAAGCGAGGCCTTTCAAAAGCACGCCATCGTCCTTCAGAGATGAAAAAACACACACCCAAAAGGTGACTTGTTCATCTTTAACGCGTGAAAGGCACTTGCATTAAAGTCGACAACACGGTGTTTCCAGCTTATTAATCACCTTTGACCCGTGTTACAAGTTTTCATCCTGTAATGAATAAAAAACGAAGAGCTAATCTACAGATTTCATTAAGGATGAATGAAAAGAAGGCAACAACGTCGACAAGATGAGATTAAAGGTCAAGATTCATTCAGGTATTTATTCAGCGTCTCGTCAAGGCAAGTCTGTGAGAGTGAAAGGATAGACACACACAAGTCTGCTTTTTAAGACAACCTTTTGAGAAATCTCATTTTAATGTTTTGTGTCGATCTTTGTCCACTGCGCCAGAGCTCGGTTTCTATAGCTAGCTTGTGAAAAAATACACATCGTTTCACAGAAGGAAAAGTTCATTTAATCAAACTTGAACCAAAAACACCGTCCTTGGTGGGAAACATTTACGCTGAAACATGTATTTAAGTCTTGAGTGATTGTTTGGGATTTTAGCGCACAATTCCAACGAGTGAACCAACATTAAATCTGATTTACATTCTTCTACTCTGCACATATTAGGTTGTTTGACTTGCCGACTTTTTAATTATATGGCAGGATTAAGATGTGGGTGTTCTTTAAACATGGCAAATTCTTAACAGTGGTACCCCACTAAGGGGTGGCCGTGGAGGGCATGGCCACCTCTATAAAATTCCTTGTCACCTCCCTGGGAAGACCCCTTTTTTTTGTTATATCATATTAATGTTTTCACAAACCATAAATTCATCATCTTTAAAGGTACAATATGTACACAAAATTATGACTCTGTAGTTTTTGACAAAAATTTTGTGAAGAGAGAACATGTATTAAACTCTTCAAAAAATGGTAAATAAATACAAATTTCAATAAACTGTTTAAAATGCATGTTTCGTTTGTTTGTGTTTCTCAAATTTGGCGTAATGCTACGCACAGCCACAAGTTAGACTCTCCCAGAGTTACCACATGGGCCGATTTGATATGCCACCCCAAAAAATTTTCTCTGCACCCCCATGAAATTTTTCCACTGCACATTCTCAACCCTGAACCTCATCCTGTCTTGTGTCGTCGACGTGCTTTCCTCCATCTCTTGTAACAATGAAAGCGCCTTTGTGTGTCCTCTCATCAGTATGTCCACGAAACGGCCCGAGCGACCGTGACCTCCATCAAATGGGAAAATTGTGAGGATGCATTGGAACTTTATGGTTCCCATGGCCAGAGCACCTTCTCACAGAGGCTCTCTAACACAGCCTGAAAGAAGAAATCAATCTTATTTGAGGAGATTAAGTGACCAGGATAATAACCATGTCATTGAAAGATAGAGAAAGAGAAAAAAGTATCACTTCTCACAAGAGTGAAATGACGGGAGTCACTGCAGATGGTTCATTGTTACAGCTGAATATCACATCTCTTTATGCCAGAGTTGTCTTACACACCTCAATCATAATAAATAATAGTAATAATAATAATAATAATAATAATAATAATAATAATAATAATAGCAGGACTGTGTTTTGCTGCAGATACATTTCCTTGCAAGTAATCAAATATTTGCTTAACATTTCCCTTGTTCTGTATCCTCGTGTGGTTGTGCATGTTTCCCCTAAGCTTAAATGACAGCATGATCAATGGGAGGGCAAGTGTCCAGTCAGCACCTTCTGCTTTGCTGTGTGTGTGTGTGTGTGTGTGTGTGTGTGTGTGTGTGTGTGTGTGTGTGTGTGTGTGTGTGTGTGTGTGTGTGTGTGTGTGTGTGTGTGTGTGTGTGCGTGTGCGTGTGTGTGTGTGTGTGTGTCTGAGACTAGCTGTCTCAGGTGATCTCATTATTTGATGGACACAGCATAGCAGAGCTTGCATTCATGCTAACCTCCTGCGTTGCTCTCCCTAATCAGGGCATTACTCATGCAGGGGAGCACTTAAAGGAATTATTGATCATATTTTGACAGAGTCGTCTCCCCTCTCCATAATCAGCGACGCGCTGCCGCCGCGGTGCATCACACGGTGACAAGATCATTAGATGCCACCTCGAGAAGGGGGCAGAGTACTTATCAGCATTCCAGAACAGGCAGCCTGTGTCAGTGTGTTAAGATGTTTGCCTAATGATTTTAA